TACCCTAAGGCTGAGGAACAGCCAAAGCCTAAGACTGAGGGGTGGATGGGACTGTTTGCTCAGGGATGGTACCAGGGGCAGCCTAAGGGAAGGGAGAAAAGGAAGTAGGAGTTGTAAGACGTTATCTCATTGAACCCTCCCTTTACACAAATAGAGAAATGGTAGTCCAGTCTCACAAAACAACTGGTTTACGAAAAAAGGAGATTTGTAACTAAATCTGATTAGATCAGTGATCCACTCAACTGCAGGAAATTGTTGACCCCAAGGGACTTTTGAGTCTGAAAGTCGGCAAGATTGTGAGTAGGAGAGAATGACGTCTGGTTGACGGAGGCCTCTCAACCTTCTATAATGTACATGAGAGCACTCTTACAGTCCCCCAATAAAAGATTATCTGGTCCAAAGTGTTATCAGTGAAGAATTCTGGTTTAGGTACTTCCTTATGTGGCCAGAGTGTTCTTTACCTTTTCTAGGCTTCATTTGGTCTAAGAGATCTAGAAGCCCCCATCCCACAAGTTACAAGAAGGAACAGCTGTACACCCCACTCTTGCTCAGTCAGGCTAAAGTACCAGTATCACAGTTTAAATGATAGATCCTGTGGCCAAAATTATCAAATTCTCACAAGGGCATCTTTAAGTTTTCTGTCCCCTCACTCATTGAAGGGAACAAGTTTTATCTGGGACAGGACACCTGTCAATCCCACAACTCACCCAGCAGGGCCTACCCAAAGCCTACTCCCAACACTCCAGCTTAGATTAGTTTCCAGGCCTGGCCACAAGATGGCAGCCCAACCCACCAGGAATGCTGAGGCTCTGGACCTGAGAGGGCAGCATGGAGGATGTGCCAACCCTGACAAAGGCCTGGGGGCTGGACTTGGGCTAGTTCCAGAGCCCAGCAGGACCAGATCTAAAGTCTGCAAGTGCCAGGTGTGAGAACATAGGCCAAACTTGGCTTCAGGCCTCATTTCATTGTTTTCTAACCTCCAACCATACCAGCTCTTCCACTAGACATTCCCAGGTTGGGGGAAAGGCGGCCTTCCGAAAGCCCAGAACCCTCTCTTCTTTGACTTGAGCAAGAAAAGTTCCAGAGCTAGGAGTTAGTGATATATAAGGATGAATATTAACTCTATCCGATGATAAGCTAGGACAACAGGAGGTTGAATAATTGGGCCAAGGTCAAATTTGGAGTGGAAATTGGGATCAGGCAGTATGTTCTCATGTATTATCATCAGCATTGGATGTATTGACACCCACCCCCTCCAGCAGCCACAGCCACTAAAGACCCTTGGCACAGACAATAAACCATCCTCTATGGAGACAAAGTTAGGATTGCTCAAAAATGGAAAAGAGGTACTTTTCAGCTGGGCTGAGGGTCTGCAGACAATGTGTATGGAGAAGAAGCTAAGACTTGGCCATCAGCTCCTCCCCACTCTGACTGTTTCTTTGGTATTTTTCCTTCTGTGTTGTTATCTTGGTTTTTCTGAGCTTTCTGAAAATGCCAGCCTTTTCAGTGTGAAGGAGAAGTGAGAGAAGGAACTTTTATGTCCTGCTTAGGATCCAGAAGCGGGGTGGGCATGCCTCAGGGCCTGGGCTAGGGCCTGTCACTAGGGATTGAAGTGAGAATTCTAAAGTAGCACAGTGTGGGACAGCTCTGGGACACCTCTTCTATTAGGAAAGCTCCTTTTAGGGTATGATGGAAACTCTTTTATTTCCCCTCTCCCTCTGACCCTGGCATAACTTTACCTAGGTCATAGTGCAACTCCCCATTAGGACTTACCAGTAGGTAATTGCCTGAGGGGAATTCTATGATGGCTCTTCCTGACTCAGTCTCCATTAGAAGGCCTAGACTTCATTAGTCTGACTGGGCTTCTCGAGTCCCAGTCTCTCTCCCAGCCTTTCTCAAATAACCTATTTTAATAAGGAACTTCTATGCTGTGGGCCCTAGGGAAAGAATCAGAGAGGAAGCCCCAGAGGAGCTTACAGAAAAAAGCTATGGAGCTGAACTCTGGTCCCATGTACCTCTGCAAGGCAAGGAGGAGGGGTAGCCTGGGTCCCTCTTACTGGCATCACACATTTCCTGAAGTAGAAGGTGGACTCGATATTTCTCTATAAGGAAAGAAAGGTCAGGAGAGGGCTCTTTCTTGCCACTCTCAATCTTGATTGCTCCCAGTTGGGGCTGTGTCCATGTCCCTGGGTTGATCTTTCTCTCTTGCTTCTGGGGGTCTCCATTTCTCTGTTTATCATTTCCTATGAACAGGGCAGAGCTTTCTAAGAGTCTTGTCCTGGAGATCTGAAGATGGGTCAGGCTGGGTCCCTTCATGATTAGGGGGTGGGATTCTCACTAGTCAACTCCAAAATGGTCTCATTCATTCCTGTTTTCCTCTGAGACTAGAGTGAAACCGCTCTTATTTTGAGAAATAATGCAGCTCAATCTGTGGAGGAAGGAGATGCCACCCTGGCCCCAGATATCTCTTTGTCTCTGCCTGTTTTTCCATTCCATTGGCTTTCTTCCAACCTTCATTTCTGGTCCTGCCCTTTGCCCACTCTACCTCTCCCACCTTTTGCTACATCACACACAGGTTTCACTGGAGGTGGGTTGGGATTCTCCTGAAGACAGAAACTGGCCATGGTTTTATCCTCAGGCTCACCAGATCCTCTGTCAGTATCGAAGGACAGCTGTCTGCACAGTTAGCAAGTGCCAACAGGTAATAAGAGCTTCATATTGTCTTAATTAAATCGCCCATTGCCTAGGCAGCCTGTGTTCGATTGAGTTGGTCTGGGATCAATAAGCCTCTTTCCCAGCCCAGCAAGCCCCTGGAGCTGGGCCTGACTTCCCCAACTCCAGCCCAATCCCACGTGCCACTTCCCCAAAAGGCCAGGAGCCCCTTAGGGGTAAAGGCCTGATTTGTCCCTTGTACTCCTGGGACAGAACCCAGGAACAAGTAAGGAGTAAAAGAATTACTGCTCAACTAAGCACACTGAGGCACCGGCGACAAGTATGGGGCTGGAGGGCTTTGAGCTTGGAACCACCATTCCCAGAATCAGCTCTGAAGCTGTAGAAATCCCAGCAGGCAGCTACTCCCACCCAGCCCCCAGACACACTGGGGCTCACATCCTGGGGTGTGCTGAAGCTCTAAGGGGAGGAGGGGCTGTCAATGTTCTGGAGGCCTAGGCGCAGCTGCTCCCCTCTTCGTAAGTGTCCCCCACTTAGTGTGGGTGAACCAGTGCAGTGCGAGCCATGGGCCAGAGTCCAGTGGCACTCTTAGAGGACGAAGCCAATAAGGAGCTATGAAGGGCCTAGGGGCAGAAAGGGCCCAAGGATCCAGGATGGGTTGTTCAGGGAGCGTTCTGGGGGCCAGATGTAGATGGGTGAGAGGTGTTATCTGGAGCGTGAGGCAGTCCTTGGTATGGAAGGAAAGAAGAGGGTGCCGACGCTCTTCTCACCTCAGTCTGACCCGCGGGCCCAGACGTCGCTCGGAGCCCCCGCCCATCAGTGGCACTCCCTGAGGGCGGAGCGTCGGCGGGTCCCCCCCGAGCCGCGGGAGCGGCGCTGGGCGGGCGCCCCCAGTGCTGGGGTTGAGGGAGGCCGGGTTCGGCGCAGGGCTAGGAGGGGAGGGGGGGCGCGGAATCAGGGCTTTTTAGGACCCAGCGCGGCGCCTCCCTCCGGGGGCGAGTGCGGCTGCGCGCGCCGTGTGCCCGTGTCCGGAGAGCGGCGGGCTGGACGCGGACCGCGCGAGCGAGCAAGCGAGCAGGCGGCGGAGCAGCAGCCCGGCGGCAGCAGCGTCGCGGCGGCGGCGGCGGCGGCGGCGGCCGCTCCGCGCCTCGCCTCCCCGGCCTCGCCGGCCTCGCCGCGCCGTGCCCGGACCCGCCACCCCCGCCTCCTGGGCCCTCCTCGCCTCGGCTGGCAACGCCACCCTTCTACCCGAAGCAGGGAGTGGAGCGCGGGGCGCCCAGGCGCTGGAGCCGGTGCCCGCCGACCACCCCCTCAGACCAAACCCGGCCGAGAGAACCCTCGCCCGGCCCAGCGCGGCTCTGCAGCCCGTCCGGGAGCTGTCCCTTCAGCACCGCCGCGGAAGCCTGAGTCCGAGCGCAGCCCAGCGGAGCCCAGATCGAGCCCCAGCGCAGCCAGCGCGGCGCTCAGCGGCTGCCCCGCGGGGCAGCACCCTGCTGCCCCTGCCCAGGGGACCCGCCATCTCCTCCAGGAGGCGGGGAGAAGGAACCAGGAGGGCGGGCGGGCGGGCGGGCGGGCTCGCCTGCCGCCAAGGGGAGCAGGCAGCCAGGCAAGGAGGGAGGAAGGGGGCCAGCGACCGCCCTGAGCGCTGAGCTGCAGCCCGGCCACGCAGGGAGGAAAGCAGCCAGCATCCCTCTCGCCCGCGCCTGGAGAGCGTGGCGGCGACCACCGCACAGCCGAGCGCGAATTTCCCGGCCGCCTCTCCTCCCTTCCCCCTCCTGGGGACTGGGGGACTGGTCTCTCGGTCGAGCCCCAGGAGCAGCTGACCTTCCCCCCGCCCCTCTCCCAGCAACCAAAAGCTTTGTGTCGATTTCTCCATTTTCCCGCTGAGATGGTAATGGGAGCCCAGCCCCTCCACCCTTTTTCTCCTCCTCCCGGGGCTCGCCGCTGAGCGCCGCCCCCCCCCTTCCTCCTTCCCTCCCTCTCCGCTCCCTCCCTCCCTCTCTACTTCCCTGCTCTACTCCTCCGTATCCAGACCAACTCCCCCCCCTCCTCCCCAAACATCTGGCGCCTGGGGACCCTGGGGATCTCTCGCACACATCCCCAGACCGGCACTCGACCGAAAGTGCCCCCCCTCCCCGCCCCCCACACACACCCAGGGGCTTGGGTCGCTCATTTAGGGTGACCAGAGCCGCGGTCCTCTGTCCCTCCCCACCCGACGGCTGGGGGGAGGGGGGGAGGAGGCCACGCGCCCCCCTCCCCAGCGCCATCTCCCCCTGGCGGTCGCTCCCATGGGTGTCGCTGGGCCGCGCCATGCCTAAGGGGGCGCCGCGATGGGCCAAGGGGACGAGAGCGAGCGCATCGTGATCAACGTGGGCGGCACGCGCCACCAGACGTACCGCTCGACGCTGCGCACGCTGCCCGGCACGCGGCTCGCCTGGCTGGCGGAGCCCGACGCCCACAGCCACTTCGACTATGACCCACGCTCCGACGAGTTCTTCTTCGATCGCCACCCGGGCGTCTTTGCGCACATCTTGAACTACTACCGAACGGGCAAGCTGCACTGCCCAGCCGACGTGTGCGGGCCTCTCTACGAGGAGGAGCTGGCCTTCTGGGGCATCGACGAGACCGACGTGGAGCCCTGTTGCTGGATGACTTACCGACAGCATCGAGACGCCGAGGAGGCTCTGGACAGCTTTGGCGGGGCGCCCCTAGACAACAGCGCCGACGACGCGGACGCCGACGGCCCTGGCGACTCGGGCGACGGCGAGGACGAGCTGGAGATGACCAAACGATTGGCGCTCAGTGACTCTCCAGATGGCCGGCCCGGCGGCTTCTGGCGCCGCTGGCAGCCGCGCATCTGGGCGCTCTTCGAGGACCCTTACTCATCCCGCTATGCGCGGGTAAGTGATAACTTATCCATCCGAAGAACCGGGAGAGGAAGGCTGCGCCCTCTACCTCCCGCGGGCAAAGGTGAACTGGAAAACTGGCGCCTAGGGAGTTCAGAACTGAAGGAGGGGCGTGTGTGTGTGTGTGTGTGTGTGTGTGTGTGTGTGTGTGTGTGTGTGTATTCCTTTGTAAGAGGGAAGGGGCGACTTTGCCATGGTGACTGGTTCTGCATGTATCTGTCTGTGCTGCAGAATTTAATATGTATGAGTGAGTATGAATGGGTGTGTTTGTGTGTATGAGTCGATTGTGTGTGCATATTTATGTTAGTGTGGCAGTATATATTTGGGTGGGTAAAGTGGGAATGCATGAACATTTGTGTATATTTGAGAGTGCATGAGCACCTGTTCGTGCACACATATCTTTGCAGATGTACAATGTGAAGGTGGGAACTGCCCTCTGGCCTGGAAGAAAAGTGGGGAGCCCTTTCTCCCTCCTAGGTAAGGGGGTCTCTGGAGCCATCCTTGGGCCAGGGTAAAGGCCTCAGGCCTACCTGGCAGTTTAAGACAGAGAGTCCCTCTCCAGGGAGCAGCCTCAGCCATTCTGAGCAAGTGGTCCCACGAGTGGCTAATTAATAAGATGGAAGCTATAGGACTAGCCTAGGAGACAGGGGATGGTGATCCTTCTGAGACCTGATTTTGGAGGACAGATCTAATCTAATCTGCTCCCTGAGATTATTCCTATACCTCTGGATGGGTGGGTTTGGGGATGACATTTCGAGGGGATGATAGAATACTAGAATTAAGGTGTATGAGGTGGGTGTGTCATCATCAGCTACTCCCCTTTAATGACAGCAGATTTTTGCCAGGGAGCAAGGGCACCCTACTGTTGACCTTGGTCCTTCAGATGGCCTCTCTAGATTAGTAACCTCATCTGTAAAATGAGGGAGGGAGTCCTGCAGATTCTAAAGGCCTCTGCTTCTGGATCATCAGCCCAAGAAAACACTAGTAACAACCAGCTACCCTGGAAGAAACTCCCCTGGCTTTCCTGTGTTCTGTCTTCAGAGGCCAGAGGACAGCCGAGGCATGGGGGGAGGGGTAGAGATGAAGATTTAAAACAGAACCTCTCCCCCTATCTCACCCCTGGGAAGAATAGTGACTCTGTGTAGCTATCTTTTCTGCCCTAGTCCCTTCCCTGCTATCCAGACCCTGACTATAGTCAGGGAGGCTGGAGCTTAGAGAGAGGTAGTGGTCTGAAAAAGCTAAGGGTTAATGAGGTGTCCAAAGGCAGAGATAGACTGTACATGCAGAGACCTGGAAGAGTACAGTTAAAGCACAGGAACGTATGGGAAGGAGGGGAACAGCAGGTCAGGATCTTGTACTTTGAATTCTAGAACAGGTGTGTATGGGGTAAGGGGCAGTAGAGTAGCCTTCCATCTTGCCACTGGGGATCTTGCCCAAGGTCACTCAGACAGTTAGAGGCCAAGCAGAACTTGACTGCAAGTCTCTTGGAACCATATTCTCTCCTGAGCTGGCCACTAGCTCCCTGCCTTCCCCTGAGTGGACTAAGACCCTCTGAGGCCTCCCTTCTGTTTCTCTGCCCTTCTCTCCTCTCCCCTCTCCTTCTTGACAAAGGCTACCACAGCTAGAGGATTATGTAATCAGAGTGTTGAGCCATGGGGAGGGGCTGGGGCAGAGGCCTAAGAGGTTGAACCTACACATGCTAGGGAGGGAGTGTGGGGGGAGGGATGGTTGGGCAAAGGCCTGCACTAGAGCAGCTGCCTATTTATTGTGTATATGACCTTGGCGGCATTTCCCTCATCTTAGCCTCTGGAAATAAGGGGATAGAACCAACTTTCTTGTGGTTCTCAGCCTCCTAGCTCCTACCTGGACTGGGCCCCTTCATCCCCTTCTTTAAACTCAACTTGAGAGATCTGATCAGTGACTTTGAGTTTTAGGCTAGGAAAGGGTTAGTGAGACATGTCCTGGTACCCTCCCCTGCCCATCTCCTACCACTGGACATTCCTGGGTTGGGAAATGGGCGTCACTCAGTGCAGACATAGAATGCCCAGTGTGGCTTGAGGTCTTCATCAACAAAATCATATTGAAAAGTCTTGGGGGGGGGGAATACCTCTTAATTGAATGTTCTTTGAAGAACAGACTCAGGACAAAGCTAGGCAGCCAAGGATGTGGGGAGGGGGGAGTTCAGATGGGTGTTAGCAGGTGTCTTCCCTGCCCTACCTCCTGCCCCGCACCAGCATATCTATGCCACTTCCTTCCCTAGTAACCTTACAGAGAGTGTTAGGGCCTTCCAGCTTACTTAGGTAACACACAAGAACACAGAGACCTATGAGGAGAGGGTGCTGCTCCATGTACACAGGCACTAAGGGCAGAGCAGAGATTAGAACTCAGGCTCCTGTGGCCTGCCCAGCTGCACTGCGCTGCCTGCTGCCTGCTGGTCTGCTGCTCTGCGCAAAGCCCAGTGGCTGCTGGCCCTCCCCCCCCTCCATCTTTTCTCTGCTGCTGCTGTCACCTTTGTTTACTTCTCCCCCCTCTCCTGGGAGCCCCTAGCCTCCTCAGATTGGTGGGTCAGGATTTGGGATTTCAATTTTTATTCTAGATTCTAGACTCGAGTATTGTATAGATGAAACAGGATCTACATATGTGAGAGAATAAAAATGTATGCGAGGTGAGTGATGCACACATGTATGTGTCCGTAGGGGTTTGGGGTAGGCATGTTGAGCTGTGATTCTGTGAGAGGTCCCTGTGTCAGAGCACTTTGGATGTGAGGGTCCACATCTGTGTTTTGAGAAGTGATGTGTGTGTGTGTGTGTGTGAATGGTGCCATGTGGGAGAGAATGTGTGTATAAAAAAGAGACTGCAGTATGTCTGTGAGTGAGCATAACGTGTAGCAAGTATGTAACTGTGTATGTGAAGCTCTGTGTGTGTGTATGTGTAAGAGTGTGTGCCTGGACCATCTGTGCATGTCAGATGTCTCCTGTGTGGCAGACTGTGTGTGTGAGACTGCGTGTTAGAGACTCTAAGGTCCTCTGTGTGACTGTGTATTGTGAGAGACCCTGGATGTGTGTGTCAGTGTTGTTTTGAGTACCTGGATATGAGAAGACCCTGTGTGACCTGGGGATATGACATGCCAGCAAGTCCCTGTCCAAATCTTTCTTCAGTGATGAGTGTGTAGACCAATGGTGAGGTCCCCTCTCCCCCATGGTGGCCCTGGAAGACAGGCACTGCTTGACTGGGGTGGGAAGTCCTAGCCCAGTTCTGAAGGATTCCCTGTCACTTCTGTGCTCCCCAGGACATCAGCCTGTAGAGGTGGGGTGAAGGAGGACAAGATGAGCCCTATTTGTATTCTGGGGTAGGGGTGAGGTAAGGATGACAATGGCACTGTCTTGTAAAGGGCTTCTTGAGGGCCATAGAATAAGCAGTGTCATAAAGGTCATGCTGGGCTGGGCAAGGACTGAGTGGCAGGAGTTGGCCAGGCCAGGGGGGGGGGGGGTGTTAGTTTTTACATACATACAGTTACAGAGGGGTTGGGAACAGCCTGGAACAACTGGTTTGAAGCCTTCCTTCTTTTCTTCCTTTGGGATCAGTTCAGGTCTAAGGCCCTTGGCCTTTGTCTATGACTTACATGTTACCAGGAGCATCTTTCTGTGTCACATCAGGACCAGTCATGATCTCTAGGTTGCAAGCCAAAGAATGTCCCAAATGTGTGTGAGAATGTGTGTGTGTGTGTGTGTGTGTGTGTGTGTAGGGGAATCTGTGTGAGTATGGTAACACATGTCCCTCCAGGGTCACTTGACTGTCCAAATGCCACAGAAGGACCAGTGGCCTTTAAGCTGAGAAATCCCTTTCTCCAACTACCCTACTGCCCATTTTTCTTTATACTCCTTAACCTATGTCTATCTCTGCCTTGTTCCCTCCTCTTCTAGACTCCCTCTTAGCTCCCTGGAAAGGAAATTCATCTGGACAGAATGAAGAGCCCAGCTAGTGACTTACATTCCTCCCTTGGGTCATGGAAAACACAGAACTCTTAGAGTCTCAGCTTGACATTAGGAAGAATAGGGGACTGATCTGTTATCAAGGACTTCCTAGACATCTCACTCCCATCTCAGCACCCAAATCAGAGTCCACTTTGAGTCAGGGTAGCACATGAAGAAGATCCATGAACAATGGAGACGGGGCTGGAGGTGTCCCCTTAGCCACAGCAAGGGTTCTCCTCAGTGTGTCCCCATTTGGTTATTGTTTTCCTTCCATGATCCTTTCAGTTTTATTTATGTTTATTTGTTTATTTATTTATTTTGGTGCCAGTCCTGGGGCTTGAACTCAGGACCTGAGCACTGTCCTTGAGTTCCCTCCTCCCACTAGGCTGATGCTCTACCACTTGGGCTGTAGCTCCACCCCCAGCTCTTTGGTGGGTAATTGGAGGTAAGAGTCTCATGGACTTTCCTGCCTGGGTTGGCTTTAAACTATGATCCTCAGATCTCAGCCTCCTAAGTAGCCAGGATTACAAGAGTGTGCGGCCTGTGTCCAATCTTTTTATTGAGTTCTTCCTGTTTTTGATGGTACCTCCAAGTCCCACCTGCCCTTTCTAGAAATGAAAATCATAGGCCAAGCATCATCTAGCCAGAGTCCCTCAACCTCTTCCCTGATGAATGGGACTAATGATAGGACAGACTACAGAGGTACAGATAGATTCACAGAGGTGCATGGATTGCCTCAGTAGATGCTTGGAGCAAGTTTGCTGCTGGTCTTTTTCTTCTAGGCTATCTCATTGTTTTACCTCATGACAACCTTTGTACTCCATCTTCTTCCTCCATGTCCATTTCCACCACTCTCCTTCAAGCCATCATTGCCAGAAGCCCACCTCTCCAGCAGCTTCCTTACCACTTTCCCTCCTCTATCAACTTAGCCCCTCCAAGTTCATTTTCCATTTGGTAACCACAGAGTTTTCTCAACTCTCAGGTCTGTGAGATTAACCTCATTGCCTGTGCAATGCCCTG